AAGGTAGTTTCAGATATCTCTGCTCCACTACTAAATGCCAGAAAACAAGTTTTGAGGAGAAAAAGGGCTGTGACTCAAGAATTTTTTTACCTTGTCAAGTTACGTTTCATGTATGAAAACTTCGGAAAAATTCTCATATTTGCAAGGATTCAGATAAGAGTATTCCTATGCTCTTCTAGAAAACAAGTATGTGAAAATGTTTTTAACTAACAATAATAAAACCAAATAAAATTCATGTTAAAAAAGACTAAAAGTGAGTATTGAAACCAATTTAAATATCAAAAATTATCCTTAGAAAGGAAGCAAAACAGAGTAATGATAATAATAAAGTTCCCAAATACCTATTATGTTAACAAAGATCAAAAATGTGTAAAATGTATGTTGGGGCAGTGGGCAAAAAAAAAAAAAAACCCCAAAGTGTCATAAATAGGGAAGAAAAAATTAATCATGGCAAAGTGCTAGGTGCAGAACAAAAATCCATGGCTGCTTCTTAGGTAGCCAGCCAGACTGTCTCCTAATCCACATGCAGTACCATGTGTATAGGTGACTGAGTTCTAACCAAAGGAATGCAAACAGAAGTGATCTGTGCCACTCTTAGGCCTGGCCCATTAAAAACTACCTCTACGATGCTCACTGCTGGCTGGGTGTTAAGAACTGCAATGCTATAGGGCAGCAGTTGACAACCCTTTTCTGTAAAGAGTCAGAGTCCATATTTCAGGCTTTGCAAGTGAAACTTTGAGGTGATATAAAAAATACTACCCCTGTGGAGGGGAATTTGGCAAATTACATATGCTAGATCTTTGACCCCGCAATTCCACTTCTAGGAATCTATTCCAAAGATATGTTAGCAAAAATAGAAAGTAACATGACAAGGCACATGTGCTGTAGCATTATTTGTAACAGAAAAAGATTGACAGCTTAAACATCCATCCTGAGGGGACTGGTAATGAACCACAGCACCCTGAAACAATGGATTATTATGAAGCTGTTTAAGAATTTAAGAATGAGGAGTAACATCCAAAATAAATTAAGTTTAAAAAAAAAATCTAGAAGCATATGTGTTTTTAATATGCTATCTTTAGTGTAAGAAAGAAATATGAATACATATATATCTAGCTATATTTTCAAAAAGGAGGTAGTCAGAAGCTAATAACAAGTTATCTACACAGGGGAAGAGAACAGTGAAGCAAGCAAAACTATACCTTGCTCCATAGTTTTGTTCTTGGACTAATACTTGTGTTTTACATAATTAAAAAACAAAAGTAAAAAGCAAACCCCTAAACACCAAAAACAAATCAACTATGTATCAAGTTGATGGCATAATCACGCAGAGAAAAATTAAGTAATTTTAAAACTATTTTCACTGTGAATCTCTAGTGGAATATAGAGATCCAAAGAACGAAAAGAATTGCAAAGAAATCTTAAAGTGTATTTAATGGCTTTGTTATTTGTTATGCTGGTACTGATATTTTCAAATTATTATAAGCATACTGTAGGGTAAAACAAATAATTATGTTGGTGTTGTTAGCAACCAAGATTTTCAAGATTACAATATAAAACCAAGAAAAACCTTAAGCTCTTACAGTTGAATTCTATCAGTACATTTGAATCAGTAAAACATTTTTTCCTTTGAAGAAAAAGTATTTCCTAATCTGTCTGTTCTAAAGGCCTAGAAGCACCCAGTAATAATAATCAGCATTGATGGTGCCTGATTTCTGGTCTTTAAAATTTCTCACTAAAAGAAATCCGTTAATAAATGGCCAGTTCCAGGTCTGGGGCAGGAAATGTGTAAGATGACCCTTTATTATACTGGTGAAGGAAGTAAACTATTAAAATCAGACATGTGGGGTTCTGTCAAAAGGACACTGGAATCTATAATGGGGCAATTTGAACATCAAAAAGAATACAACAAAACATCATCCATCCACTTTTCTATATGAAGTATACTTCAGGATAATCAAATAGTTCGTAAGCTGTTTTTCTTTTATAGAATTCAAAGTAATGAACACTAAATGATAACAGAATTAGAAAATTATCATTTTGTACCTCTTAATAATGGATCGATTAAATTTAAAACCAAGGAAAGAAAGATGAATAGGAACCGTTATGGCCCGAACCACTGATCAATCTTAGCACTGCTAAGTGGGATAACCAGACATTATGTCCCAGTACGTCCACTAATGAAGTATTTCTGCCTAATAAATTCAACCTGAATCTGATCAAGCCTCTAGATCAAACTCACCAGTTTACAGTAAATAGAAGGGATAGAGGAACTTGTTAAACACCACCAAAGAGCTAAAGCCAAAGCTAGAATGTGGGATGTTCCAAAGGAAAACCCAATCTCTCTAATGATAGTATGAGGGAGACCACTATTGAATGAGAGACTCAAGAGATAAAATAACCAAAGGCAACTTGTATATATTATTATATAGTATTAGTTTCCCTGAGACTACTGTAGTAACTAAGTACCGCAAATTTGATGGATGAAAACAACAGAAATTTATTCTCTTACAGTGCTGAAGCCAGAAGTCCAAAATCAAGGTGTCAGTGGGGCCATGTTCTCTCTGAAGGCTCTTCCAGCTTTTGTGGCTCCACGCTTCCTTCCTCTTCTTGTTTGTTTTAAAAAATACAAAACTCCAAAACACGAGCTTATAAAGTAGATAGTTAAGAGAGCCTATCCAGATGACCATTATTAATATATGGGCGCCTTTTTCCAGATTTTTAGACATGAACAGATTTTTTCCCCACAAAAAATGAGTATAAAATATGACCATCGCCTAAGCCCACTTTAATGCCTCCTCTTCTATATCAGAACTTTCTCATTAGATATGTGATTGCGCTGAGGGCCTATGTAGATAGATAGTACCGGATAAATTCCTCAAGATCTTTAATCGCTCCCTGTCATAGAAAGTAGCATTCATTCTTTGTCATAGAAAGTAATCACAGGTTTTAAAACAGGGATTAGGACATGGACTTATGTTTTTGGAGACTACCATGCAGCCCACTATATATGTCCTGATTAGAAGACTATAAGGGTGTTTTTGAAATGATCAGGGAAAGTTGAACGTGAACTGAGTACTAGATGACACTAGCAAATTCTTATGTTGTGAGCTGTGAAAATGACATGGGCTTTTTTTTTTTTTTTTTAGTCACTAGGGAGGCATTCTTATGTATATGTGTAGAATGCCATGTCAGGGTTTCGCTTTAAAATGCTCCAGACCCTCTCCTCCCCTCTGAAAAAAAAGGTGAACCAAGATGAGCCACATTTTAATAACTACTGAAAGGGGGGGAATGTGTTGTCTTAAAATTTCCACCATAGAATTTTTTCAAAGCAGTTGAAAAAAAAATTGTCCACTAAAATGAAATTCTCTCTCTCAGAATGAACTTATCCAGAAGACCTGCACATGAAAAATATTATCAAAAAAGATCAATGGAGATACCATCATCCTCTGCTAGAGACATAAAGGTCAAAATATAAATGATTTTTTTCCGCTGATTTTTTTGATATATGTAAATTTTACTCAGAAATTTTAATTCTAAGAATTTCTAAGAGAATAACCCAAAAACTGTGCAGGATGGTACATCCAACAATACTGGATTAAATAAACCATGTTAGAGCCATATCCTGGAACACTATGCAGCAATTAAAATGTCAATTATTTATTGACATGAAAATATATTTGAGATAAATTAAGTGGAAAAGTTATTCAGCTATATATATCGTATTAGTCTATATTTGTTAATAACAGAATTTACATGCACAAGCATGCACAACACACACTTATTCATACATACATGAAGGAGTATATACCAAAAGCCAGAATTTATACCAAAATGTTATTAGGCGTTAACTAGGTAGTGAGTTTAAAAACTTCTTATTCTTTACCTTTCAGCAGTATTTTATTTTTCTACTATGAACACCTATTACAGATATAGTTAAAGAAAAATATAAGTAGGACCACAGACTTTATGATCACCATATGCCCGTAAGGAGGCAGTATGTGCGTTTGGGGGGTAGGGTGGGGAGGGTGCTTCTCCAATGTATAACTGAAGTACATGCTGCCAAGAACCCTGTTGCTTCTTCTCCTGACACTTTCCAAAGTGTTTTTATACAACAGTTCTACAGGTGATGCAAAGAGAAGGGCTCGATGTCCAAGTTTTCAAAGATGCTAAGATATTAATCTGTTATGTTTGCTATGTATCACATGGTACACATATTCATTGGGCCACAGAACCCTTTGTTTTGTATCCTACATAGAAGTAATAGGACTTTTACTTAACATGTTTTAGGAAATGTCATTGTAAAAGCCTAAAGAACAAGGATTACTTGGGGTGGCTCCATAGTGCAGTGGTTAGCACGTCTGCTTTACATGCAGAAGTTTCTAGGTTTGCACCCCAGGTGGAGCCACAGACCATACTCTGGGTGCGCCAGGCCCCCCCGAGTGTGCTGGGGGTGCCAGGCCCTGGGGGTACCAGGCCGCGGGTGCATGCCGCAAGCATGTGGGAAGAGACGCCCCGCCTTCAGAGATCCAGTTCTTAAGGAAAAACTGGCAACATCTATAGATCAGGGGTGGAAGTGTTGGGAGGTGGGGGGAATTAAAGAGGGGGGTGGGGAGAACAAGGATTACTTAACCACACATTTCCAGTGACATCTGAAAGCTTCCGGCCTGTTTTCCTAGATTTAGATTGATTCATCTCAAAACAGCCCCACATTTATATTTTTGTAGTCTCAAGCTTTAAACATAATTTGCATCTTGCTGTCAGTTCATTTAGAGCAGTGTTTTTCAAACTGGATTTCTATCCATTAGTGGGTTGAGAAATCAACTCAGTGTTCCCAACCCTCGTTTTTTTAAAAACCAAAATAAAACTCAGAGGGTAGTAAATGTTTTTGTAAAACTTGTGTCCATATATAATCACATAATATATATGTATGTGTGTATTGGTCACAATATCAAATATATTTATTACTTTGAGTTGCAATCAAAAAAATTTGAAAGCCATTGAATTAGAGATGAATTTATTGGTAAATAGATAAAGTTAACACCCAGACTCTTTCCTTGTATATATTAGGCAAATTTAAAGAAAAAAATTATCAAAGCAATACAGCCAGCTAGATCCCCAACTTACAAACAAGTACCAAAAGTTTGAATACTGGGTGCTTAGAGTTTTTCTCAAAGAAAACTATCATAAAGAAATTAGGTTCCCAATTAGTTCACAAAAGCCAATTTAAACAATGTTGCTTAACTACAGTACTAAGGTTATTACAAACTTAAATTTCTCTACCTTGTTTTATTTGTATCTGAGGTTCAATATATCTCCAAGGACATATTCTCTCCACACCTACACCTTGGTCCCAGCACCAAGCAACTCCTCACAGTGCAGACAAACATCCACCATTCAACATGGCATTCCCCAAGTTGTGCTTAAGGTTTCAGAAGACAAAAAGATCAGCCTTAGTTAACTGAGGTAGAATATGGGGCTCTCCCGAACATCTTCCACAAGCCCCGAGTCTATTTCTCTCCCACCCACATCCCAGCTCTAGTACAAGGTCAAGCATGAGAAAGACATTTGCTCACTAACAATTTTTTTCATCTTACCAACAACCTTTAGGAGAGATTGCCTACTAAAAAAGAACAATGAATGGTTCACTCCACTTTTTTTCAGACCCCAAACTAGTATAATAAAATTTTACACACACACACACACACACACACACACACACACACACACACACACACACACAATCTATCTCACTGGCTTTAATGTTGATAATTTGCTACTGATAAAATCAATAGCTATTTTTATCACCTGACTGCTTTTCTCATAAATTGCTGAGATATAAAAATTCTATTACCAGCAAGTTTCTCTGCACCAAGAGAAACATGTCAGTGCCCAGAGAAGCATGGCTTGTGACATTTCGTTAAATTCAGGAAGTCAGGGTTAAGTAGAATGCCATTCTCTAACTTAACTCTCTGCTCTAACTTAACTCTCTGCTCTTATCAATCTCATTACATCCTGGGAGATTATTAAGAACTAACCTGAAGAGTACACATTAATGGAAAGCTCAGTGAAAGCTACTCTATGAAGTCCCTCAAAGACTTATAATGTAATACAAATACATTAACCCTAAGCCTCACTCATTTGGGCAGAGTACAAACTGCCTTTCCTAAAAGGATTTACCCAACTTGGAACAAATCTTAACCAAGGTACTACATTCTCATATGAAACCTACTAGAGCCAGGTAGGAACCAGATTTTTAATGTAATGCTGACCCAGTAAACCTCTCTTTTGGCTGTGCCAGCTGCCTGATCCCAGTACTCACTGGCACTACTCCAGCAGCCTCAGGAAAGGAACAGAAGCCACAGGAAAGAGTTCTCTGTGCAGCCTGAATTTGAGGGAGACACAGCACAACTGGCTCATTCGTTAATCATCACCTAAGCATACATCTTCTAATTTGGCCATCAAGTAGGCACAGCAGTTTCAATCCGCATCACGGGCCCCAAGTCCTATACTAACACTTTTACATGTCTCAGGGAAAACTCACTGCAATAGTACACCTCTGCAATCAGCAGCCTAGGTCCTCCAAGATGGCAGACATGTTGAGTCATAACTGACACATGCCCAATTTTTCTGGTTCTACCTCTTGCTTTTGTGTACCAGGGCAAGTTTGGGAGGTTTAAGGAGGGAAAGGGTTAGAAATCATTTCAGCATATACTTTTCAGGTTCTGCCAGGCAACCTTTTATTACATCGGAAAAGCAACACTAGGCACTAGATCTTGCAAAATATGTTCTGACCAACTCTAAACTTTCTGAAATTAAAAACGTGTAACCACTATAAGGATTTTAATGAACAAAAAAGTTAAATACAAACTTTCATATGCAAAATAGGTTATTGTATAACTGGCAACCTCAGACCCAAGTACTAAATTTTCTTCCACAAATTTCAACGGGGGTGGAATGGGGGCATGTAAACCCTAATGAGCACGAAACAATTTCAGCTTTCTATATAGGAAAAAAAAACTTCGAGGAAAAATAGCTTTAAATTGAATAGTATCTTTTGAAATAAACAGCTCAGGGCAGCCCTTCCAATTCTGAGGTTTATACTCAACCAGATCTGGGATGAAAATGAAGATTTAGGGTTTACAGTTACTTCAAATCCAGTTTCAAGAGTAGCCGAGTCAACTCATTTCCAGAAAGGGAAGTCTCTTTAGGATGACCACGACTCTCTTCTGAAGACGCTTGAATAGCCAGAGTTCTTTGGCCACAGTTCCTCTTTTCCATGACACCATGCCAACGCTGTAGTGTCAGACTTCCTCTGAAAGGCAATCAGAGCCCTACACCACAGTGCTTCTCCCAGCATTTTCAAGCCTCAAAAAAAGACCTCCAGCTTCAAGTTGGCAGTTACTGCTCCAGCGTTTAGAGAAGTTAATTAATACTTCCTTCCTCCCCCCAACTGATTTCCCTCCTGATCTTCAGCAGGGAGTGGCAGCTTGATTAACATTCTTTTCAGAAATAAATAGTTCAAACAAGTAATTCAGAGTTAACCATAAAAGAGCAGCAGAAAACAGCCACTGCCCATTAAGTTTGCAAATGAGTGAGCGAATGAATACACGTGAACAAACACACAGAAAAAAATAAATCATAGAATAAATCCTGCATTTTCCACATTCATAGGGAAAAAAAAAAATCTTTTTAAAAAAAAGTATTAATTAGCGTTTGTTCTTGTGTGGGTTGAATAGTCCAGGGCTCTGAGCAGGCACAGCCTTATAAACAGGGTTGCAAGCAGCCCTCCGCATACCAAATCAGGACTAGGGGGCAGGGAGAGGCCTTCATGCACTTCTGACAGCTCAGTACCTGGAGAGAACAGAGGTGATGCAGGGACTTTTTAACCCACAAAGCATGAGGTATATGGAAACGTCCATCCGTGAAAAACCACCAGCAGCTGAGGGAGTGGGCGGGGCATTCTCACAGTAACTGCTGATGGAGGATTTCCCACACCATCTTCTTCCGGAAGAGAGGCATCTGGTGCTGCAAGAATCCACAAACACATAACAGTACACATTAATGTGTACAGTGTCAACACCCGTTAGGTGTAACCATGTAAGTGAAGAAGGATGTCCATGTCCTTTATGTAAGCCTGGACTTTTTTACATCATGTTCTGACTTAGTAAGCCATAGAAAGGTTTATGTTTCTTATTATATGTATCATAAGCATTTTTGGATGTTAAGGAAAATCAAAGCAGGGTGCAGAATTATACAATAGAGTCCAACAACTTCATAACAAAACATGTACCAAAAATGTGAATATCCAAGTAGTGGCACAATAGGTAACTTTCCTACTTACATGTATTTATAAAACATTCTAAAATTAACATATTGATTTTTTTATGAGAAAAACATGAACTCTATTTAAATAGAGAAAAAAACAAATCCAAAAATTTCTTCTCTACCAAATGTTGTACATTGCCAATACTGTTCAAATAACAACTTCTCTTCAAATCTCATGTCATTAGATTCAGAAAACAAATAACCCCTTGTTACTTAGAAGCATCAAAGAATGAGATGCTTTGCTTAATATGTTATTCTGCTTTAACTAATAATCACTCCATGGGCCAATTTTCAAAGCAGCAACACACAAGACAAATCCAAAATCACCTGCAACTCAACTAGTTCTGTTTTTGATGAAGTCAGAAGCTTATGCCCTTGAGGTATTCCTGGTGTTTCATAAATAGCTGGTTATACCACTTTACTATAAACTAGTGACTTCCTAGCAGGAGGTGCCTGAAAAGTCTTAATACGTAGATTGGCAAATTATTTTAAATATCTCAAAAAACATACTAAAAATTGCACATTTTTGGCAAAACTGCTGATACTAAGCATTAATAAGTACCTTTATTTTAGACTAGAATTTATATTAATTCAGCATAGGAGCCTTAGTTATTTCATGTTGCTCCAAAGCTTAGAATGGAGTTATCAGTCCTACCATTCAATAAGTACAGTTTGGTAGATACCATCCATCAAAATGAGGTTTATTTAAGAAAAATATTTTTTAACTGGGGTTGTCCTCGGTTATAAAATGGTTGAGAAGCCATTATTATAAACAAAAATTCTCAAGACTTCCCAATATATTTAAATCTTCACTCAAATGCAGTGCTATGGAGAACCAATAAAAACCAGAACAGAAGGGAAAAGCAGTATTCACGGTTACATCTTAGACCTGTGGCTTATGTTCTCACAAAGCCCGACTTCCCCTCCCTGTTACAGATTCTGGCATGCCCCCTTCTTTGGCTAAAAATATCAGTAACCAGTGAATATTGGAGTTCAGATACACAAACGGTTCCAGTAGTCGCCAAAGACTAGAATAAATTTAAGAGCAGATGCAGTGACAAGCATCACAGCAATAACCACAATAGCACAGCTACCATTATTAAGATCTTATTAAGTGTGCCAGGCACTGGTAACATGCTCAAAGTTTATCTTGTTTAGTAAAAAGTGAATGAGGAAGGGTCTTTTTACTCACCTGAGTAAATGTGATAGGTTTGTCCCTAGAGATATAATCTGCATATTTACAAGTAAACATTCCACAATCACTTCCATTCAACTGTTGAGGAATCTCCTAAAATTACAAAAAAAGAAGGGAAGAAGGGGCAAAATTTCATCAAATGCAAACTCCTTTGACTTTTTCTAAATATTATTGTAGATAAACAATATTATGACGGTAAATGTTAATGTAGTATCTCACACACACACACACACACACACACACACACACACACACACACACACACACACACAGAGTCTGTATGTGATAGAAAACCCTAACTATGACATGGAGTATGTGACCTCATAGAAAATGTTTTTTCCAGAAAGAAAGAGAAAAGCAAAGTGAGAGTTCTCATACAAAGAAACCAAACTGAAAGGTTTATTACCAGGAACAGAAATTCTAGTCAGTTATTTCAGAAATTTATAAATTTTGAAAAGGGCTAAGTGTGGCTCAATCAGAAACAGGGTTCCAAGACAACTAACCTACTTCAATATTGGAGCGTTAAACTCCTCTTCCCTAGCCAGAAAATAAGACTACCACTTGGATCCGCACAGCTACAAGCAGGAGAAAGAAAAAAAGCCTCTTGATAGGCTTTAACCAATCAGGAAATCTTGCCTTGATTGCTCAGTTCAGTCCTGAGGCGAAGGGTACCTATCATTAGGCAAAGTCAGTGGACTCCAAACCCACGTAAGGTAAACTCACATTCCTCAGGCCCTAATTTTGGCCTGCCCCTTACACACTCTGGCATAAGATAATAAGATTATAAGAGAGTGTGATTCCACTGCTAGAAAACATACTAAATGACAACAGCTCAAATTTCATTCAAAGAAATAAAGATCATTGTGAAAAAAGATTGTTTAAAAATGCACACCACTCCTACATATGGTAGGTACCTCTTGCTCTTCTCCAGAGCCCAGAATCTCTCACAGAGTAGAGAGAACTATATAGGCTCCAATATACAAAGAGAATTTTTTTTTTTTAATTACATTTCCCAGAACATAGTATTCATCCTAACAGACTCTTCTTATGTCTGTGTTCTCCTCAGGAAATTTCAAATCTTACCCTTTCCAATCATTCAACTTTGAAATAAAAATGCTTTTGAATAATTGAGCCACCATATACAGGTTGACTAAAACTGAATTCATTTAGGTTACTTTTAAAAAAGCCATTAGGACTCTAAGGTGTTTGAGAATCAAATCTGGCAAGATCCAAAGCACACTCACAAACGGCATGCTTGACTCTTGAGGACTCATGGATGGGACCCTTAAGACCTAAATATACAAAATTCTCAGGTTAAGTTTTGAACAAGACCTTCAAATTTATATTAGGACCAAGAAAAATAGTTGACATAAATTGATTGAGATTTTTTTCAATTTTGTGAGAGACGTGCTAGCATATAGGGAATATTTACAATTTAAGTAAGAAGATAAAAGCCAAGAAGCAAACATCTTGGTTAAAAAATTTAGTAGTAGATCATTCTTTAGGATCTGCACTTCGGGAGAATGCATGCCTAAGTGTGACTGTGTGAGGGGAGGAAGGCAGGAAGTCAAGTCTAAATGATGTGCTCATGACAGGAAATGCAATGAGGTGCTTGAAATACAGATGATTATCACTTACATGTGGCTTCATGCTATAGTGAGTCCACTCTAAAAGATTCAGATCAATACTTCTTTTGGTCTTACTTTCATCCTGTAAATACTGACTGAAAAAAAAAAAAAAGAATATACTGATGAACCCCTGTGGAGACGTGACATTATGATTACGAAGGACTTTGTGATGTTTAAAAGATAGACTATTCTCAAATCCATCTCCTTTAGCTTTTGGTTTTCAATTTTAATTTTTTTTCCTGCTTATAAAAGTTGTACACACTTATTTTAAAAAATTAAAACATACACAATGTAAAATGCAAAAGACCCCATAATAACCACTCCAGAATTACTGTTAATAGTTTGCTATGTATTCCTCTAGCTCACTACTACCCCTAAACACACAACTTAAAAAAATACACTTTATTTTAAAAAGTACTTCATTTTACGACTTGCTTTTTCTCACTTAAAAAAAAACAGATATAGGGGAGGAAAAAAAATGGCATAGATGATAGAGGCTCAGTTCATCCCTTTGGCGATCAAATCAAAGTTATGATGGAAACAAGGAGTAGCAGCAGGTAAAATTGCCTGGAATGAACAAGCCACACGACTAGGGAGAAACTCAAGAAATCACCCTGCACCAGCAGGAAGTAGGACGGGGCGAGGACGCGGGGCTGCCCGGTCTCCAGCGGCTGAGTGAGGCAGAGGCAGTGGCAGTGGCAGACACCTCTTAAAGGGGCTGCATCCAAACAGATTTTCACAGGGACGGACCTGCTTGCTCTGAGCATCAGTGCCCGTTCAGCTGCACACAGGGGGTACCAGGGATTTACAGGGAGACATTGTCGGAGTGAGGGCCCAGGAGAGATTCAATCTGTACAGAAGTGCCAGCAATATCCATTGTTCCCTGCTGAGCCCTTCCCCTCCCAGTGTGCAGACACAGTCCACCATATCCCTGACGTCATCAAACTGGATAATAGAGGTCGCTCCACCCAGAAAATTCCCTGAAACCCCACCTCCCCCAACTTGTGGCCCCACTCAAGCCACATCCAGGTATATCCTCAGTGAGTCAGGTGCTCCTTGCTGAGACTCACACTGGTGGAAGCCGCTGGCCTTGGTTTCTGGTGTGGCTTTTTGAGGCAACTATAAGCACAGCATCTGTGGATTGCTTGCTGAATCTTAACAAGTGGCCCCGGAAGGGTAGAGCCTTGGGCTAAATTTGGCCTGCAGCTGAACCCCTCCCAGGACTCTGCACTGGACACCTACTTCACAGATACACACTAATAAGACTGGGAGACTTAGGAGTTTTGCCTAGTACATAGAAACAGACATGAAAAGGCAGCCAAAAAGGGAAGACAAGGAAGCAGAAACCATATGAGAGAACAGAACAGAGATCCAGATATAATGGAGTCAAGTAATCTAACAGATGCAGAGTTCAAAACACTGGTTATAAAGATGCTCAGTGAACTTTTGCGAAGTGTAGAGAACCCCAACACAGAGATAAAAACATAAAAATGGAAATGGTAACTGTAAAAGGGAATCAGTCTGAAATGGAGAACATATTATCTGAAATGAGAAGTATATTAAATGGAATAAACAAAAGAATAAACAAAGTGAATAAAGAAGAGGATCGAATGCCCTATCTAGAGGACAGGAAAGCCAATCAGGGCACTCAATCAGAATGGCAAGAAAAAAGATGCCAAGACTATAAAAATAATTTAAGGAGGATATGGGACACTATTAAGGCTCCAAATATTCGTCTGATGGGCATAAGTGAAGAAAATGTTGAACAGCTGTTTGAAGAAATAATGATGGAAAACTTCCCTAACCTGGTAAAGGAACTGGACGTA